CTGTGAGTGTGTTGGTTGGTTGGCCCTGTTTGTTCATTTGCTGCTTTCAGTTTTAGATGCCCCTTATGAGTGCCCCCCTTTTACTCATTTGCTCAGGTCAGGGATCCCAAGCTGTCCTTAAACAAAGTCATTTTAGTCTATTGATTCTTCACCAAACAGTCTCTTGGTGTTTAAAATAAAGTAATTGAAAAGTGCCTGGAAACATGAGGTGTAAAAAGTAGTCTCAGTGGAGGATACTTATTTTATATTTGGCAAATACAGGATCTTTAAGTATACTGTATGTAATTTTTTAATGGGTGTTATAAGCAAAGGCAATTATATTTAGGTTGTTGATTTTGAATGTCTTGACTATCATAAATAACTGCCGTCACATGCCAGGGGACGACTGGATGTTTTGAGAAATGCAGCATTAGGCCATTTAGTCGCTGCGTGAACAGCACGGACCTAGACGGTGTCGCCTGCCCCTGGGATTGTGTGTGCTGTGCCTCCGTGTGACTGGCAGTGTACTAGGGTCAAACAGGCGAGGCATGCGTTGAGCTACGGTGTCGCTAGGCAATAGGAATTTTTTAGCTCCATTATAATCTTATAAGACCACCACACTGTATGTGGTACATCACTGACCTAAATGTTATACAGTGCGTGACTGTAGCTATGATGTGCCCATGGTGTGCTGGGTGGCCAAATGCTTTAACCAGATGTACACCATGTGAGTTGTATAGATCCTTGCACTCCAGTGTCATAATATTAATATTGATATCCATTGGCTATCAAGAGCATTTATAATGATATCATTATCCTTAGATAGGGTCTAGATTATTGCACTGTTAATTTTTTTTAATTTTTATTTTTCTAAGTACATTGAATTTTCAGTATTTTCGATAAAATATTTTGGATACCAACACGGTCACTGGTTTGGCAGTGAGTTTTAGCTGAGGCATGATCTATCACTGCCAAAAGAAATCTTGAAAACTGAGATCTAATTTGTTTTATATAAATATGGAATCTTATATATTCCCAACACTGAGTCAACTTAATCCAAATAAGGGGCGGATATATTTCTTTTCTCCTCCAATGATTATTCACACAGCTAAGGTTAGCCGGACTATTGCAATTAATGATTCACTACTTCTCGCTTACCTCCTACTCACGCCCCAACATATACATCCTGAAAATGCAAAGTACCTCTCATTCCTCTGTAAGTTAGAATATGTTTTAAATGGTCGGGATGGCTCTCTTTTTGCGATTTCAGAAATTCAAGACTCCATGGAGGAAATTTTTTACATCTATGCCAGTCTATGCAATCATTGTTGCAAACTTCTGCAGAAGCTGGACTTTTTATTTATTGCTTATTAGTCAGCCAGCATATTTTGAGGAAGTCTTTGGATTTGAAATCAGCAAGGTATGTAAAAATTATCTTTATTTAACTAGTGCATAATTTTTTTTGTATTTAAGTGGGTATTAAGTTGCTTTGCCAAGATTTTATCTTCTAAATTTCATAAGTAATTTATTCATTCAGTCAACAAATAACTTCTGAGAAACAAAGCCTGAGTAAGGTGTTTGTCTACTGCCTTCAAATGTCTGCTAGAAACTGCTGGTTTTTTGGTGAATACAGGCAAAACAGACCTAGTCTCTGCCCCCATGGAGCTTACATCTCAGTTGGGGTGGGCAGCACTGTTACCTTCTCTCTGCAATTAAACATAACTTTATTTTATTTTAATCTTCACCCTGGGACATGCTTAGAGAGA